CTCTTTCAGCCTTGAGGACGGTATAATGTGACGGTCAATCCCACTTTTGTTGGTAAAAGAGTAGCCTAAGAGTTGGCGGTGGGTGGTGTTGACAAGCTGCCTTCCCTCCAGTCTATCACTGCTAAATTAGGAATGGCTAGCTCAGATAGCCCTCGAGTAGCTTTGAGCGAAATTCAAAATGACTGTACGCTGGTAGATAATACATGTATGTTCGCTGTTCGCTTTTTGTTTTATTGTTGTTGTTGTTGTTTGTTTTTCCTACGTAGATAAGGAAAACCAAATGCCAGAAAGTTTAAGAAGGGTACAGGAGATGACTGGAAAATGTGTCAACTTCATGAAAGCAGATCTACTTGACGCTGAGGCACTTAGAGAAGTGTTTAAAAAAGTAGGTTAAATACAAATATGCATACTAGACTTAGAAAATAAACAAAATAACAAACGCTCAACTGGACAGTTTTCCGAAGAGCGAGATTCTGTTTTATCAACACTCTCTGAATATCGCAACAAGGAAAAAAAAGTTGCCGTTTTAGAGATATTGGAATTGTTATACCGGAAATGTTAGCGACCTTTTTAGCGTATTATTAGTGTATATGCGCATAACATATCGTAACCAATAGACGTACTATTAGAAATGAAAATTAACATTGTTAATTATATAAATTATAATTAATTATTTATAATTAAATGCATAATTAATTATTTATAATTAATATAATTTAATTATTTATAATTAAATGCATAATTAATTATTTATAATTAATATAATTTAATTATTTATAATTAAATGTATAATTAATTATTTATAATTAAATGTATAATTAATTATTTATAATTAAATGCAGAATTAATTATTTCTAATTAATATAATTTAATTATTTATAATTAAATGTATAATTAATTAGAAATATTTAAGTATTTTTGTGCTTGTTTTATGTGATAATCATTTAATTTATACTAATGATTCTATGTTATTGTAACAACTTCAAGCAAGCACGATCGAATTCATGAATATTATGTTAACTGCTACACCTGTATTCTTTCAAGTACGAAATCGGCTGCGTCGTGCATCTAGCTGCCCTCAAGGCTGCTGCTCAATCTTTCAAGATACCTCTGACGTACTACAGGACCAATGTGGGCGGGACCATCAATTTATTAAAGGTAAAAAACTATTCCATCATAAGTCTCCGATAGGTAACATAGGCCTGCGAATTTAAACTTAATAAAATAAAAGTTGTTTGGGTTTTAATAACGGATTTTCCATAATTCAGCTACGTAGATTTCGAAAATGATATTCTTTTTTTTTTCTTCTATCACGTAAGGAATTTTTTTACACATCGGAAAGAAGAAAAACCTCTTACTTAGATCAAATTATTATTTCGTTTACCACAATGTACATTTTTATTATTATGTTTTGTTAACAAAAATACAAACAAACTGAAGAAAATGGAAGAACATTGATGTCAAACGAATGGGCCCGGCATGGCCAGGTGGTTAGGGGGCGCTCGTCTCGTAATCTGCGGGTCGCGGGTTCGAATCCCCGTCACACCAAACATGCTCGCCCTTTCAGCCGTGGGGGCGTTATAATGTGACGGTCAGTCCCACTATTCGTTGGTAAAAGAGTAGCCCAAGAGTTGGCGGTGGGTGGTGATGACTAGCTGCCTTCCCTCTAGTCTTACATTACTAAATTATGGACGGCTAGCGCAAGATAACCCTCGTGTAGCTTTGCGCGAATTTCAAAACAAACAGACAAGTCAAACGAATATGCATCCTCATTCATCCTGATTTGAGTGTGTGTGCGCGTGTGAAATCTACGTTTTTTAGTCTCAAAACTACGTGTTGTAGTCTTTCTTTTACGTATTGCCTTATGACGTTTTGTGAAAAATCTGTACGTGATGGAGAAAAACGGATGTCATTTTTCGGATTGAGCATGCAGGACACGTCAATCAATTCATCGCAGGCCTGTGTAACGTTTTAACAAAGATATCCAACAATAAACACATCACGGGTAAAAATGTGATTAGCGATACCTTGATTTATTCTAACGTTCTATTAACGAATCTACTCAGTTCTAAAAGTATTTTCATTTAATATATAAATCTAAAATTGAACATGCTATAATTATTTTAATTAGTACAGGGCTCACCATGTCAGTTGTTACTAGTTTGCTTAAATTTAAAGTACTTTAACAAGAATTTTAAATAATTCTTCATAACTGACCAGTGATTTCGTGATTAAAAAATTACAAAAAATCAATATAGTTCTGGATTCATTATATTCCTTTTTTTTTGTCCTTGCTTCTATAGCTAATCATATAGAGTAAATTTAATAGTTTATTTAAAAATTGTTAAGTACTTATTGCGAATTTGGTTCCTGATTTTTTTTCTTCTTCCACAAATCTTCTTAAGGGCTACAAATTTCGGTTTCGTAACAACAGATGAAATGCTTATTTTTTTAACTGAAGGACATCAGAGCTAGAAAAATAAAGAGTCTGTTTAATTTTAATTTTAAAATAACATCATTTCATTCATAAATTGATATCATCTTTAATTTCAGGCTATGAAAGAAGCAAACGTTAAAAGAATGGTTTACTGTAGCTCCTACACAGTTTATGGTGACCCCGAGTATTTACCTGTTGATGAGCGCCACCAAGCGGGATCTGGATGTACTAATCCTTATGGGCGAAGCAAATATATGGGCGAAGAAATATTAAAAGATTTGTGTAATACAGAAGAGGTAAAAATCTTTTTAATTGTGTTTTTTTTGGGGGGGGGTGGAGTTTCCTGGTTGCTCAATTCGTGTAAAATTCTAAATTTATATGCAGGGGTTCCTGTGTGAAAATGAAGTCTGATATTAAGTGTTTTCTTTTATTGTTAAAGTTTCAAAGGAATAACGGAGGATATATATATATATATATATATA